CCCGCAAACTCCGGGCCGGGTGACCCCCCAGCCCCACGCCCGACGTCCAGGGCAAAGACGGCTCCTAGCGCTGGGGGCGACCGCCCAGGTACGCGGGACGGAGTTCGCCGAGCTTGCGGCGCCGGAGCCGGGACGGCCGGCCGCGGCCCCGGGTCAGTCCGCGCTTTGCCTTTGACGCATCGGAGCGCCGTTTTCTGCAGGATGAAGGGCTTCTCGCCGCCGGCAGAGTTGTTTTTGCGCAAGCGGCTCGCGGTGCTGAGAGCGCTCAAGGTCTGAACTTCCCTCCAGAGCTGCAGTTGGAGCAGGCGGGCGTGCGAGGAGCAGCAGCCGCGCGGAGCTGAGGCCACCCTCGGGGCGAGCCGTGCGCCCCCGGGACGAAGGCGGCCAAGCTCCGGGACCCCCGGTGTTCTAGGTCCGTCCCAAATGGTTCTCGTCCGCCTCGAAGGGGGGACGGTGGAGGCACTGATGAGCCGTTACCGACGGTTTTTGTGAGCTTCTGGTGCCTTTCCAAGCCGCTTGCTTAGGAAGCAAGTGGAGCCACCACTTAGGAAGGGCATAGCCCCGGTGGCCTTCAGCGGGTTGTGTGTGTGTGTTTGGAAACCCGGACTAACTCTTCATTGTTTGCCTACAGGTACTGGCGACCCCGGCTGGGGAAGGCACGGGCTCTCGGCAACATGGCTTCTCCGCCCCACCAGCAGCTGCTGCACCACCACAGTACCGAGGTGACCTGTGACTCCAGCGGAGACAGCAACAGCGTACGGGTCAAGATCAACCCCAAGCAGCTGTCCTCCAGCCACCCCAAACACTGCAAGTATAGCATCTCCTCCAGCTGTAGCAGCTCCGGGGACTCCGGGGGGGTCCCCCGGAGAGTGGGTGGCGGAGGCCGCCTGCGTAGGCAGAAGAAGCTGCCCCAGCTGTTCGAGAGGGCCTCCAGCCGGTGGTGGGACCCCAAGTTCGACTCGGTGAACCTGGAGGAGGCCTGCCTGGAACGCTGCTTCCCGCAGACCCAGCGCCGGTTCCGGTATGCGCTCTTCTACATCGGCTTCGCCTGCCTTCTCTGGAGCATTTATTTTTCTGTCCACATGAGATCCAAACTTATTGTCATGGTAGCCCCTGCACTGTGCTTCCTCGTGGTGTGTGTGGGCTTTTTTCTGTTTACCTTCACCAAGCTGTATGCCCGGCATTACGCGTGGACGTCGCTGGCTCTTACCCTGCTGGTGTTCTCCCTGACCCTGGCTGCGCAGTTTCAGGTTTTGACGCCTCTTTCAGGACGTGTTGACAGCTCCAATCATACTCGCGCAGTCAAGCCCACAGACACTTGCTTATCTCAAGTGGGGAGCTTTTCCATGTGCATTGAAGTGCTCTTTTTGCTCTACACAGTCATGCACTTACCTTTGTACTTGAGCTTGTTTTTGGGGGTGGCCTATTCTGTTCTTTTTGAGACCTTTGGCTATCATTTCCGAGATGAAGATTGTTTTCCTTGGCCGGCGGCTGGGGCCCTGCACTGGGAGCTGCTGAGCAGGGCCCTGCTCCATGGCTGTGTCCACGCCATTGGCATCCATCTATTCATCATGTCTCAGGTGAGGTCCAGGAGCACCTTCCTAAAGGTGGGACAGTCTATTATGCATGGGAAAGATCTGGAAGTGGAAAAAGCTCTCAAAGAGAGGATGATCCATTCTGTTATGCCAAGAATCATAGCTGATGACTTGATGAGACAGGGGGATGAAGAGAGTGAGAATTCTGCCAAGAGGCATGCCACCTCAAGCCCCAAGAACAGGAAGAAAAAGTCTTCCATACAGAAAGCTCCTATAGCATTCCGCCCTTTTAAGATGCAACAGATTGAAGAAGTCAGTATTTTATTTGCAGATATTGTGGGCTTCACCAAGATGAGCGCCAACAAGTCTGCTCATGCCCTGGTGGGTCTCCTGAATGATCTGTTTGGTCGCTTTGACCGGCTCTGTGAAGAGACCAAGTGTGAGAAAATCAGCACTCTGGGAGACTGTTACTATTGTGTGGCAGGGTGTCCAGAGCCCCGGGCAGACCATGCCTACTGCTGCATTGAAATGGGCTTAGGCATGATAAAGGCCATCGAGCAGTTCTGCCAGGAGAAGAAAGAAATGGTAAACATGCGCGTTGGGGTTCACACGGGGACCGTATTATGTGGCATATTGGGCATGAGGAGATTTAAATTCGATGTGTGGTCCAATGATGTGAACTTGGCCAACCTCATGGAGCAACTGGGAGTGGCTGGCAAGGTTCACATTTCTGAAGCTACTGCAAAGTACTTAGACGACCGGTACGAAATGGAAGATGGGAAAGTTATCGAACGCCTTGGCCAGAGCGTGGTTGCTGACCAGTTGAAAGGTATGTGCACCTCTTTGCCTTGTCATCTCTTTCCCTATCCTGTTTGTATGAAATGAAAAAAATAATCTCCTTTTAGCATCCGATTTGGGATGCAGCTCAGTTGTTTCAGGATACTTTATCAAGGGAGAATCTCAGGATCAGTGTGTGTCATGTATCACACAGATCTGTTCACACTGCAGAAAGGGATACTGTGGCAGAGCTGTCCTAGTGAGACCTTTGGAAGGAAAGAGAACTTTGAAAATGTACAGATCACCAGTTGGCTGTTGACATTCTTGAAGTTGTGGGGGGCATATCCATGGATGTCAGGGTATGGAGCCCTTCAAAACTTCTGAGCACTTAAAGAAATCACCTTGGCATTTCATTTGACCACCCTTAAATCCCATTCAAATGTTTCTGTGTGCCTTTTTTGCAAAAAAATGTGAAGAATAAAACTTCTCTAGGCCTTACTTGGCTTATTGTAAAAATAGGCATAGGACATTATCTCTGTCCTGCAGGACTTGGGAGGATTAGATGGGTTTATACACTTCCAAGTGTACACTGCCTTTTGTTGAGGTCTCTTTTTTAAGAAGTGTTTGCATTTTCAGCTTTTGACTTTCATTTATTTAAGGACGCTTTATTACTGTGGTATTCATCTTACTGCATATACTGTACACCTGAGTCTGATAGAACATTGAACTTTTCAAGCCACCAAGTGGTTTGAATGTGGGAAATGGCCCTGGAGGAGCCTTGATAATTCTGTTTCTCTCACTCTATCAGCTTTGTAATCTGACCCCTTGTCCCTGCTTTTATACTCCTTATTGCTGTTTTGCATGTTTTTATTGGGCTGCTACTTTTTCTTTTCTTTTTTATTTTTATATAGGACACAAATTTTTGAGGTCCAGGAAGTGATGTATAAATAATAAGTGGTATCTTAAATAAGGATTCTAAGTAATCTACTCCCTCCCCCCCTTTTAAACAGTTCTTATGTTTTCCTAAAATCTTCTGGTTTGAGGGGAACATCTATTTTGGAAGTATGTAGAGAAAGTAACATTGATTTTTAAAAGCCTACATTTGCAAAGCTGTATTCTATTTTGTGTTGCCCACATGCTGCATAATTATACTGTTAAAAGCCCCTGGGGAAAGGGGAACCTCCGAAAGAGAATAGTTTAAATTGGAGATGGGAGAAGTAGTCGTTTCCACCAGAGACTGCAGCGGTTGAGTTTGGGCTTGTATAGGTTGATTGTCAGCCTTGAAATAATCCTGTGTGCTCAATTGGCCTTTTCTTTTCTTCTCTGGCTTTGCTATTAGCAAGGGTACTTTATCCTTCTCCTGATTCATTAATTCTGTTAGTTGGAGAATTTATGGACGTAGGAGGAAAATATTTTCACCTGGAATTTCCTTGACCTAGAGAGCTTTACGGGCTGTGCTGAGGTCAGAAACTTTGCTTTGCAGTTCACTTGAAAGATCCTGCTGTGAAAAGTGTCTTTCTGTTTAGAAGGGTGGAACCTGCTCTTAAACTTGAAGGTGTCAGTGGACTGGGGTGTGGATGTAACCCCTGCTTGACATTTTGGCATTTTAGGACCTGAGTGTTACAGGCTCTGTTCTTGGGGATTGTGGGACCTATTCAAGAGAAGGGAGTTTGCTGCATTATTTAAACTAAGTATGTTTGGTCAAAGGACAATGATAGTGATTTTGTAAGCTGTCCTTTGTATAGTGTATTATCTGAAATTTCAAAAATAAAAGCAGGTGTAATTATTAAGTATGTTTATAAATCACCAAGTTATTGAATCTTTGGGAATACCCATTTTTGTTAATTTATTGGTAATTTTATTTTCAGTTTATATGACACTGACCTCCTTACCCCCACAAAACAAATATGCAAAAAGTCCCCAAACAAATGCTAGAGAATGAATTTGTTGATTTTTTAAATCTCAAGTTGTGCAAATTTGGCACATTTTTTTCTTTAAATTTGTGTACATTGTCTATGTATAAAGGAAAGTTTTAGTATTGTATAGGAAATAGGGAAAGATCCAAGGCTTAGCTAAACGGCTGATTTTTTAAATCGTATTCTCTCCTTTAACTGTTTCTTCGAGACCATGATTTCATGATTTTTGCTTTCCTCAACTCAGTTTGAAAACCTTTGTGGATAGAACTCCAGGAATAAAGTATGTCTACACAACTTCCTGACTCTTTCTGAACTGTCCTCATGTTGTATAACGCTGCTAAATTGAGATAATAGCATAGATAACAGAAAACCTTTGATACACAGGTGAAGCTTCTGTATGTCACACTTATTTTAGACTTCTGTCTTTGGGCTGGTGGGAAATATTTTCTTTACACGTTTTTTCCTACATGGTTAGGTATTAGCCTTAACCTCTCGTTCTCTTTTCCCCTTTTTTAATAACAGGGCTAAAAAGACCCAGTAGAGGACTCTGTAGAAATGAACATGATTAGAATGAGCAGGGGATTCTAGAAGCAGCCTGGTGACATGGGAGGAAGCTACTCTTGGGTTTTATTTGAACAGACTCTTTGGGAAGGTGGAGTTTCAGCATTTCTGCATATTCACTCACTCTAAAACCTTTACCATGTGCATACTTTGCACATGGCAGTGTGGATGCAAAGATGGATCCTTGGTGTTATCCCCAGCATCAGCAAGCTCACAGTTATAAATGTTGTTGTAGAGTGTGTCTGAGATTTAGGGAGTTCTTTAGAGAGGTGCTTATGCTGGAGGTGCACCCTCAGATTGAGCCTGTGGCTCTCTAGGGGGATAAAAGAACACTAGGTTTAGAGAAGAAAGCAGGGGGAAGGGCTTGGCATTGTTTCTCTGTGGGGTCGGGCAATTGTACATAATTCTTCAGCATGAGGAAGGCAGTGGGTAACTTGGGAAGGAGATGGGATTTGATCCTGCAGGTGATGGGGAGCTCTGGGTGCTGCAGCAGGAAGGAGGCTTAGGTGATCTGATTTGCAGTTTTTGAAAGCTTACTCTTTAAGGTTTAGGGAGTATGTGTTGGAAGGGGTAAGACTGGAGACTAAATAATACCAGGTGGGGGTAATGGTGGCCTGGGCCAGGGCAACAGCTGTAGCCATGGAGGTGAGAGGTAGATATGAGCCTATGAAGATCAACCTGACAGGAGTTGGAGCCACATTTAAATAAACCACTAGAAGGAGGGGAGAACCTTGATTATTTGAATGGGGGATGGCATTTTAAGTTTCTGGAACTGACCTGGAAATAATTTGGAGTTAGAAATGGGAGAGAGTCCTTTGAGGTTCTAGAGTATGAATGGAGAACACGAGACTGAGTTACAGAATATAAAAGAGGCCTGGAACCCCTGGCTTGTTCCTTCATTCATTCAGCAAATAATTTATTCTGTGCTAAGCATAATTCTAGGTTCCAGGGTTCTTGGTTCTTGCCCTCATAATAAGGAGGGAAAATTTTAAATTAATAATAGAATTGCTAGTGGGGGATTTCTAATAGAGGATTCAGTAGGGGAATCAAACAATAAGTAAGATATAAAATTTGTTTTAAGTTCTGAGGAGAAAATATAAAGCAGGAAGGGGGATATGGAATATGGTGGGAGAGTGTGTGTGAGTTTAATCTTACATGGGGTGTCTAGTCATTAAGAGATGGTTGAAGGAATTTTCAGCATAGAGTTAGGCTATTGGAAATAATCCAAAAAGGGAGAGAGAACTATTAAAGATAAGGGGAAAGGGTCTGATTCAGTGATGGGGAGAAGGGCCCTTCCATGGTATTGTTACCACTAGACCAAAGGGAATAGCGGCTGTTTTGGGTCACAAGCAAAAAAGGTGAGGTGTATTATCTAGAACTATTGGGTTTTCCTATCAAAGATAAAAGGTCATGAAGACAGAAAGTGAAACTGTTAGAACATATCTGCAGAAATCTTTTTTTCCCTGTAAATATTAGGAAGATAGAATAAAGAAGGAAAATAGGAGAGTCATTCCAAATCAACACCAATTGTGGAAAGGACTGTCTGGTAGCTTTGATGCTTCTAGATGCAGAAATAAAAAGAAGCTTTTTCTCACAGCCAAACTTTAGGCTGTGGAGCAACTAGGAGAGAGATCCACTGGTATGCAGTTGGACAGATTGTCACTCGTTGGCACCTCTGTGACTGAGACCTTTGCCTTTTCTTCTCTCCTTCCTTCCTTCCCTTCCTCTCTCTCTTCCTCCGTCCCTCTCTTCCTTCCTTCCTCCCTTACTTCTCTTTCTTTTAAGTCAGAGTCTTACTCTGTTGCCCTGGGAAGAGGCATCGTAGTTCACAGTGACCTCAAACTTGGGCTCAAGTAATCCTCTTGCCTCAGCCTCTTAAGTAACTGGGACTACAGGTGCCCACCAAAATGCCTGGTTAGTTTTTCTATTTTTAGTAGTGATGGGGTCTTACTCTTGCTCAGGCTGATCTCAAACTCCTGAGCCCAAGGGATCCACCTGCCTCCACCTCCCAGCGTGTTGGGATTACACTGTGACCTTTGCCTTTTCTTAGAAGAGTTCCTGTCTTGGCCCTGTCTGGGGCCACTCAAACTGTTAGTGAATCAGGGCCCTTTTTCTGTGTTAGCCTTAGCCAATACCTATTCCAAACTGGAAGTCTGGGCTCCCTTTTGACTTATGGACACAAACCTGTCAGCTGATAGCTAAGAGCCCCAGCCAAGTGCCAATTTGGGGTGCAGTTGGATGTACAGAGCAGAGTTTCCTGTTGGTTTGTAATGGGCTGACTTCTTGAGATTAAAAGCAGGTATGAAAGATTTTGGACTTATACTCGGTTTTCCTATTTAAAGGGGTGAGCTTTGGGAATTAAAAATTCTTTTTCTGGGGCAGCGCCTGTGGCTCAAAGGAGTAGGGTGCCAGCCCCATATGCCAGAAGTGGCAGGTTCAAAGCCAGCCCCGGCCAAAAACTGCAAAAAATAAAAAAAAATAAAATCCAGGCATTGTGGCAGTCAATTGTAGTCCCAGCTGCTTGGGAGGTTGAGGCAAGAGAATTGCTTAAGCCCAAGAGTTTGAGATTGTTGTG